GCCCCCACCAAAAAAACAGTAACTGTCACTGGGACATTTTGAGGATTAGATGAAGCTCATGGAAAGTGCTTAGAACAGGGTCTGTCATATAGCCAGAGTTCCATAAATGTGAGCAGTTATGATCTTTTTGCAAGTGAGGAGAAAAAACTGAGCAAAAATTCCCACATCCTGAAAGGTAGAACTGGTGCAGGAATCCAGGTCTCGAGGTCTTAGGATACGCTAGTAAAACAGCCATCACAGTCCCCATACATGGCATTTAATACTGATTATTGCCATGGGAATTCACCTGGCCTTGTTCTAGGGGACACCTTGTTCTGCAGTTCATCAAGTCCAAGATGCATGGGGGTAAGAAGTAGTGTTATGTACGCACCATGGAGGGGGTGGAGGTGGGGAGGAAGGAAGGTAGGGAAAGAGAGGGAGGAAGGAAAGGCAGAGATGGGATGGCAGGTGGGAGAGGGAGGCAGAAGAGGAAGGAGCCAAGCAGAGAAGCAGGCACCATGTTCCTTATGGAGCTGCTGTCCACTCCACATACCCTGCTCTGCTCGGCTCGCTCAGCAGGCTGGGGCCGGAACCTGCACCCCCATCTCCATTTGTCCTTTGCACGTAGGAGCCCTGGAGGAGGAGAGAAGACTTGCTCAGCTTTGTTTGCCTGAATTTTCCACCATACCCAATAATGCCCGTGGCAGTTGTTACAGCTTCCAGCTTTTGTTCACACCTCGGAACTGTGCTCAGAGTTCCTCTCCAGGAAGCAGTACCCGCGGGCAGTACCCATGCCCAAGCTCTGAGTGGCCCTCCAGGGCCTCTCTTTCAAAACCTCAAGTTATCAGTAGGACGTGGGCAGCATCCATCCTCAGAGGTCCCCCTTTTGAGATCTCACCGTACCCCATATTTGCTTAATCAATTCCCTGTGTTAAATTCTCTCCATTAAAATAACTAGAGCGTGGGGCTGGGGCTGGGGCTCAGCGGTAGAGCGCTGGCCTAGCACGTGTGAGGCCTTGGGTTCGATCCTCAGCCCCACATAAAATAAATAAATAAAATAAAGGCATTGTGTCCAACTACACCTAAAAAAATATTAAAAAATATAAAACAACTAGAGCGGGTTTGGCACCCCTGCCTGGCACCCTGACTTATGGATCATAAGAGGGATCTTATTCCCTGAAATCTTATACAAAAGGCTTCGAACTGATAAAATAAAATCCCACAACAGGGGATTCCCAGGGGCCAGGGCTGTCGGAGCTTTGGAAATGACCTAGTTGAGCCCGAGGTGAACCCAGAAGGAAGGAAGGTCTCACAGCTCAAGTGGTGGGGCAGGTCCTGACTCTCAGGCAGGTCCTGATGCTCCTCCCACGGTGCCTGTCCTACTCTGCCCATCTTTCTGCTTTGAGGATGGATGGGTCCTTGACATGCCTCATAGTGGGTCCTCATCAAACCCCTTTTCCTTCCAGGAAGAACACCTTGCTGGTCAACAACGGGTTTGCCATCTCTGCTGCCCTGCTGATGGCCTTTGCCCTCCAGGCTGAAGCCTTTGAAATGCTCATAGTGGGACGCTTCATCATGGGCGTGGATGGAGGTGAGACCCCTGTGAGGTGGATGGGGGCAGTGACACGTTCCTAGGAGGTGTCTGAAACTGCCGGCAGTGTTTGGGGCTGTCACAGACTGGGGCTCCTGATGGGTAATGACTTGGCAGGACCAAGGATGCTGGAACTCTGCACAGGGAGAAAGTCCAGTGACATGAAACACTGTTCGCAATGCCCTGGCACTGACTGAGAACCTCCGGCTGGCAGACCCCGTCAGCCCGCCCAGCTGAGGTCTTCAGCACTTCATGTCCTCCTTTGTCACCTCCCTCATGAGATCCATGTTCCAAGGAAATCTGGGTTCCCAGGGAGCTTCCTCGAGGCCCGTGCTTCCCGTCTGCCTGACTCACTAGTCACCCAGCACTTCTAGGGCTCCTGCTCTGCCTCGTGTCCTCAGGCCGAGACACAGCCATCCAGAAGACTCTTGCCCTGCAACTCACATTGCAAGGGGTGGACAGAAAAGAAGCAGATGCACACGTCCTAGGAAGAAAGCGAGGGGGCAGGGGTGGCATGGGCTACTCTATAAGGGCCAGTCGGGGAGGAAGCACGAGCAGAGACCAGAATGAACCCAGGGTGAGGCCAATACCCAGGGCAGAGTGATGCAGAGTGTGAGTGAAGCCCTGCACCAGGGAACCTGGGGGGGAGGGCAGCCAGGGATGGGGTCAGACGCCAGGAGAGGCTATTCAGGTGTGGGGATGCTTGGTTCAGCACCCAGGATCCAGACTGACCAGCCATCCTGGAGTGTCCAGGACTGAAGTTTCCTGGGATGGACGGTACTGGGCAAACTGGGATGAGCTTCTCATACAGCCCACCTCCTCCACCACTGCCTAGCCTCGGCTCTCTCCCATCCCAGTGACATTTCACAATTGACAAGCAAGAACAGTCACCATGTATTGACAGCTTGATGTATGTCAGCACTCTGCCAAGCATCTCACACTTATCCAGAGTGTGCACAGCCCCCGTACAAGGCAATGACATCACTGTCCCAGCCTCACGGAGGAGCTAGGAAGTCAGCCCACGCCCTCCGCCATGACCCTCGCTGCCTCTTCCATTCTGACTCTCTCACTCCCTCACTGCTTTGGGGGGTTGATGAGCATTTTGCCCAGTGAGCAGGAGGAGCACAGGATAAGGAAGGTAACAGATACTCAGGTGCTCATCAAGTGGCCCACGTGAGCCGGGAGCCTCATGGGCTGTCATTTCCTTCCCACCACAGCAGGAGGGAGTGAGGGTCCTCACCCCATCTTGCAGATGAGTAAGCTGAGCCTGAGAAAGGGGTTCAGTCCACCCAATGAGGAAACCGCAACGCTGGGATCCGGACCCATCACAGCACGTTTTCCCCTGTTGCCCCGCCCACCGAGCACCAGGTGCTAAGTACACGGGGAGCCAGATTTTTACTAGGAGGCCAGTTGCTCCTAACATACACGTTTTGGATCAAAGTTCAGATTTCATCTGGCCGATTTTGTGACTTTCCAAATAATTTCTGTCTCTTGGCTTTTCAAGCTGTTTTAAGTGGTGTGTCCTGGACTAAGACGCAGTGGAGGAGATTCTGAATTTATCATTGATATCCAGGTCATGCATTCACTTTCCTGGTCCCCCCGCCCCTTAGGAAGGGCTTCCTTGGATACCAACAAGGGAGTGAACCCAGCTCCTCTTGGAGCACACTTACTGGTCAGGAGCTATGCTAGAGGCAATGGGAAGCCAAAGCTGGAAAGAAATTTTTGATATTCTCTCAAACTGGTAAAAAATTAGACAATAGTAGCAAGTGCTGACAGTCTTAATTTGCATAGCATTTTGGAAAGAGGAGGTGCAGAGCATATCTGAACTCTCACAGAAATCCCGCAAAACTTAAACTCAACCCTTATCCCCTTCCACCTTGGGGACGGGAAACTGAGGCTAAGAGAAGCTCACAGCCCCTTGCCCCAGGGTCCTGCTGCTTCCAACCAGGACCTCCAGAACATGCCATGGCTCCAGAACATGCACCCCGTGGGCTAAAGTCAGGAATGCACCTGTGGGAGCACTGCTACCAGTTTAGGCACACACGGGGCCTTCAGAATAGCCCAGCCCGGCATAGGGACACAAGGCCTTGAAACCAGCAAGGCCTCATTTTTATTAACAGGTGTGTGCAGTATTTTTGTAAATCATTTTTATAACTATGACTTTTTACCTGACACCTACCTGATAGGCCTCTGACATACAAATGTACTTCACAGGCACTGAGGTCATATGTGGGTGACCTATTCTGTAAAATAGGTCTACCCATATCCGCTGTAACCAAGACCCATAACTTAAATAAAGAGGCAATTCAAGCTGGTGGGAAAAGCTTAGGCTCCAGAGCCAGGGAGCTATTGGGACTCTTGGGACAAGACAACATCTTTGGTCATCTCTAGATGCCACTTGGTGATTAGGAAAGTTACTCAATATCTATGCCTCAGTTTCCTCATCTTTACAATAGAGATAATAGTATATTTACTTCAGAAGGTTATAGGAAAAGCAAATAAGTTAATAGATGCAGAGAGATGGGTGGGACCTCAACTAATGGTAAGCACTATATGTGTTGATTATTATCATCATTGTTACCACCATCATCACTACCACCATCATCCCCACCACTATCATCACCTCCACCACCACTACCACCACCAACATCATAATCACCTCTACTACCACCATCACCACCACCATCACCTCCACCGATACCAACACCATCATCATCATCTCCACCATTATCATTAGCACCACCACCATCATTACTTCCATCACCAACACTACCACCGCCAACATCATCACCACCTCCACCAACACTACCACCATTAACATCCCCACCATTATCATTAGCAACACTACCACCTCCACCAACACCACCACTATCAGCTGTATCCTCTCCCATGAAATGCACCTCCCAGCCATGCCCTATCGGGGAAAGGATGGAGTGCCCAAGGAAGCCTTACAATTCGTACAGCAGGCTAGGAATGATGCTTTGGCTCCAAGGTTGTCTATCATCATGAGCAGAGCAGAGGCTAGCGAGGGGCTGGGACCAGAGTGCCCGCCCCAGGGAACCCCACTTTCTGACATCTGTGTGCTTCCTCCTCAGGCATCTCCCTCAGTGTGCTCCCCATGTACCTCAACGAGATCTCACCCAAAGAGATCCGCGGCTCTCTGGGGCAGGTGACCGCCATCTTCATCTGCATTGGGGTGTTCACTGGGCAGCTGCTGGGCCTGCCTGAGCTGCTGGGAAAGGTGAGTGTGGCTTCTGGCCAACCCCGCCACTTCCTCTCACTGTGAGTCCTTGCTCCAGGAGCTCATCCCCACGAGCCCCATCCTGAGTGGTCAAGCCTTTTACTTGGTATTGGAGAGAAGTGGTTGTGTGTCCCTTCGTATTTTTAAGACATAAAGAACACAAATTCGACAAATTCAAACCGTACAGGATGTTCAGATCCACCTACCCAGTGACTGTTGCCAGCAGCTCAATTTGCCTTTCATGGGTGTCTTCTGTGCTTTGAAAACCTACATAAACATCCACGGTTTGTTGTGGCTTATTCCATAGAGTCATGCCATACACATTGCTTTGCAACTTGCTGTTTTCATTTAATATGATTTGGGCCCCTTCCAAGATGTTAGTTAACTGTATTTCACTCTTGCGGTTTTTTTTTCTTTTTCCTAAATAAGTAATCTTGCAATCTTCTGGTTTGGCTTGCTGTTTGGTGAACAGGAGATGGGATTCGAATTCCAGCTCAACAGTGTTCTTGCAGTGTGGTCTCAGCAAAAGAGAAGGGCTCATCCAGGTCGGGGAGGGGTGGGGTGAACTTCCGCTTCCCAGAGGCTGTCCTCAAAAGTGGGCCCCCCAGGGTGAGCAGGAGCTAGGCCAGCAGTGGGGGAGGGTGGGAGAAGACCCTCTGGAGAAAGGGAATCACAGAGAAGGCCCCAAGATGGGACAGAGCCCTCAGGAAACAACTGGGAGGGCTTGGGGGCTGAGGAGGGAGGAGGGACCTGCTCACTGGGCCCAGCCAACTTCAACAGGGGAACAGGGAGCGCAGGTGGCCCTAGAGCAGGGGATGACATGGCCAGATTCACACTGGAAGGGGGCTCTGGGTGGTGATGGGGAAGCACAGGCCACAGTGGGGAGGGGGAGCAGGGATGCCAGAGGCTTGGCAGAGGTCCCTGCTGCTGCTCTAGGCGATGAAGGTGGGCTGGGGCCCCGGGGACAGGGAGGAACCAGTGGTAACCAGGGAGGAAGCAGGGCTTGCTGCCTGGGTATTGATGAAGATGAGGGAAGGAGGGAGGGGTCAGGATGTGTGGCGGGGGAGGGGGGGACACGCTCATTATGGTGGAGAGCCCAGCATGTGTCCAGTGCATGTTGCGGGTGCTTGAAGACCTTGGCTCCTGCGCTGCTGAATTCTAGCGGGGGGGAGGCAAGCAGTGGAAACAGTCTTAGTCAGTGGGCTCGGCATGGAGTGCACTGTTGCCTGGCTCTTTGATTCTGTGTCCTCCTCAATAGCAGGCATGATGGCATGTCCTAAGTCCCTGAGCTCTGCTCAAGAATTACTTCCTCTGGGAAAGTATCGCTGGCAAATAGTAACCGTTCAGTATGTCCTCAGAACACCTCGTGCACGGGCTTCTCCTGCGACATGATTTCTGTTTGCTTCTGCAAGCTGCCCCTGTAGTAGAGCAGCCATGCTGACATGTGTGCAGGAGCCCAGAGGCGGTGGGTTTATCCGCCCACTCACAGGTACTTACAATATGCACCAGGTGTGGGGCTGCCGCTGCTGGAGTGGTGGGCAGAGCCACCCTGCCCTGGGCAGCTCACAGGAAGGCAGTGGCCAGTGGGCACCAGGTGATGGGAGGCAGAGGTGCCTGCACGAGGTCAGGGATGGTTTTCCTGCGAGTGATGACTAGGACTTGTCTGGGCCAGAGCTGTGGGGAGAGGGACAGAAGTGGGTGTTGAGCTGGGGGAACAGTTAGGGGAGTCCCCAAACTCTAATTGAGAGGCAGAAAAACCAGAGGACCAGGGCATAGTGGTGAAGGAAGGGAAAGGAGGAGAGGAGGAGAGGGAGAGGAGAGGGGGAGAGGATGCAGGAGAGAAGAGGGAGAGGGAGGTGCCTTGGAGAGTGGGTGGGTCAGATCCCTGGGACAGGAGGGCCACACCTTTCTGGTAAAAAGCACAGAAGAAGGCTTCAGAGGCCTGAGTGCTTGGGGAAATGCTCCCAGTCCCACTTGTCTCTGATGCCCCTCCTGGTGACCTCTATTTTATTTTCTATGGATGAGTATTTGATTTAAAGATAAAATTTTTTTTGGTCCTCATGTAAGATCAGGCAGGATTTTTCTTTCTGATCCTGGCTGAGTTCTAGTATAACATCCTCAGGTTCATGCATGTTGTGGCCGATGGCAAGATCTACTTCTTTCCCAAGGCTGCACAGTAGTCATATTCATTCTTTATTCATTCTTCCACCCAGAGGCACTTCTGCTGTCCCACATCCTGGCTGTGTGACACGGCAGTGACCCTGAGTGCAGGCATCCATATGGTGTGGTGATTCTGTCTCCTTGGGTGTTCCCAGAAGAGTGACTGCACGGTCACAGGATAGTTCTATTTTTAACATCTGGAGGCTCCTCATGCCATTTTCCACAAGGGCTGCATCACTCTCCCCTCCCACCAAGGGCTGGCCCACCCCTACCTCTGTCTTGATGAGAGCCATCCCCGTAGCTGTGAGGTACCAGCTCATTGTGGTTTTGATTGGCATTTCCCTGACCCCAAGTGCTGCTGGGCATCTTTCCATATACCCATTGGCCCGTGTTGTATCTTCATTGAACAAACATCTGTCCAGGTTCTTTTCCATTTTTAAAACTGGTTATTTGTTTTTCTGCTGTTGAGTTGTGTGGATTTTTTAATATATCTTGATACTAGCCCACAGTCTGCCATTTCATTTTACTAGTTGCTTCCTTTGCTGGGTAGTTTGATGTAGCCCCATTATTTACATTGCGCTTTTATAGCCTGAGCTTTTGGGGCAGTATCCAAAAAATTATTGGCAAGGTCAATGTCAAGTGGCTTTTTTCTCTATGTTCTCTTTTAGGAGTTTTATGATGTCAAGTCTTATGTTTAGGTCTTTTATCCATTTTGAGTTGATGTTGTATATAATAAAAGAGTCCAGTTTCTTTATTCCTTTCTTTTTTCTTTTTTTTTTTTGCATATGGATATTCAGTTTTCCCAGCGCCATTTATTGAAGAGACTGTTCTTTTCTATTTTGTCTTTTCAGCAAGCTTCTCAAAATTTAATTTTCTGTATGTTTGTTGAAGTTTATTTCTGGAGTCTCTTAGGTGCTCCATTGACTGGTGCATCTGTTTTTATGCTCCTTTGATTACTAACACTGTGTAATATAATTTTAAATCAGGGAATGTGATGCCTCCAACTTTTTTTTCCTCCTCAGAATTGCTTTGGCTGTTCAGGGTCTTTTGTGGTTCTATGTGAATTTTAGATTTGTTTAAAACATACATACATGGGAAGGTCACTCGCAATCACGGATTGGAAGAATTAATACTGTTAACCTATTCGTGCTATCCAAAGCAACATACAGGTGCAACACAACCCCTACCCAACTTTCAGTGGCCTTCTTCACAGAAATAAGAAGATAAACATGCTTAGAAATGCTCTTGGGCTGCAGCAGGGAGAAGATTGGCTCTCACCCAAGACCCGAGGGCTTCTGCTGATCAGCCATGAGCTGCCAGGAGCCAGGATAAGAGCAGGTGGACAGGTTGAGTGAGGTTGGTGGGTGATGGGCTGTTGTGTCCTGGGGAGGCAAAGTCAAGGGCACTGTCCCTGCACCTGACCCCTCTTCAGGTAGAACAGAGGGGACAGACACAAGACAGGGGCCGGGGAAGAACAGGAGCAGCTTTGCAGGGACCAAGAGGACAAGTTCACTCACATGAGCAGCCTGAGAGGCAGAGCTGGACCAGGAACCTAGATTCCCAGGTGGGGGACTCTCCCTGGAACCCCAGGGCTCATTGGCACGTTGCTGGTCAGGCACAGCTGCCCATGCCTGCCCTCTGACCTCCACCAGCAGAGAAGCCTTACACTGAAAGGTCCCTGGTCCCTGCAGGCTGTCTCTTCCCCATCAGATTGGAATTTCCAGACGGGCTTGACTCTGGGAGGAGGCTGGGTGAGCAACCCATTAGAAGCCCTTTTTATTTGTTTATTTCATGATCTTGGGAGGTGGCTATTGGGCTTCTGGTCCAAGCAGGAACATCAGGTGGAAATTTTTCATTTATCTCTTTGGGGATTTACAATGTTCCAGCCAAGTGAGAGCCACAGTTATTCAGCTGGGTGTCAGAATTTCACCTTCTGTATTTCAATCATGTTTGTCATTTACCTTCAAAAACTGAGACAGCTAAGCTTTGGAAAAAAAATTAAAAAATAGAAAAGCTGTGCTTCTGTGCAGGCAGCTGCTTTGAACCATGAAGGCTACAGGAAGTGGGGAGAAGGTGGTGCTCAAAAGAGGAGCTGGGAGCAGGGTGGACTCTGGCTGCAGTCAGAATGTGCTCAGAGGCACTGTGAGACAGGTGGTGGATGGACACCGATGTGACACTTCATGCTTCCAAAGGATATTTTTAAAAACACATTAAATAGCTATTTATCTTGCAAAAATGAAAATAAAGGAATTTATGATAGTCGTAGGCAGACCTATGAGAAGAGAGATGGGAACAATGTGGGTCAGAAATGGTCACATATGCTAGGGACACCCATTCAGATGCAGTGCCGGGGGAAAGGCAAAGCGAAGCTCAGAGCCAATTGCTGCTGTGTGGACTTCACACCCAACTCGGTCCCTATTGTTCCCGTGTAGAAGAGTTTGTGCTCATTTCAGAACATTTAGAAATTATAAAAAGGGCTGGGCATGGTGGCACATGCCTGTAATCCCAGCAGGTCAGAGGCTGAGACAGGAAGATCACAAGTTCAAAGCCAACCTCAGCCACCTACTGAGGCCCAAGCAACTCAGGGAGACCCAGTCTCAAAATAAAATATGGAAAGAGCAGAGCTGGGGATGTGGCTCAGTGGTTAAGTGTAACCAATCGACTGGTTCAATTCCCAGTACCAAAAGAAGCACTATATAGCAAGGAAGCAAAGTCATTGAAATTCCATTGAGGGTTTGATTTTTATGACTAGGATGAATCCACACCTATTGTGTGCAATATGAAAGAGTTTGGAAAGTGAAAAAATTAAAACTTCTATATCTCACCATCTCTGGGTGATC